GGTTTAACTACTTTACAAACTAAACAACCAAAGTATCTAACCAAACTGTAATTCATTTAATTTTCCTTCAATTCGAAACTTATATAACTATTGTGAGCACCTTGGCAAATGGAGTGAGGTTCCCTATATTCAGGACTTCTCATATCTTAAAACCAAACCTAATTTATGTTCAAGTAATTTCAAAATTCTTATAACAAAGAACTCTTCTACTCTCCTTCTCCCTAAAACAAAGCCTATTCAACCCAACCAAAAAACCACTGCTGCAACCACCAGTCCTGAAAACAAAGACCCCACCATATTCAACTCCTCTCTCAACACCCAGTTAACTCCATCCTCTATCCCTCCTACTTCCCTGTCAACCAATCTAAGCTCATCTCCTAACTCCTCCCCTCCAAGTACCCCTCAGAATTCTTTCACGTCTCTCAGTCCAATGCTGACTACTTTAAAAAACACTTCTGAACCTGTTTACCCCTTTCTTCTTCTAGCTCCTGCATATGTATAAACTAAGGTCCATTACTTCTAATCCTTCTCATTTTATTCAAAAATTTCAATTTATTACTATATCCTATCAGCTTACCTGTTTGGGTGATGTTCTTTCTGGCGGGGTGAGAAGGATGGCTTGGCTGCAGGCGCAAGCTCGCTCCTAAAATTGTATGAAAGCAAGAAATGACTACACACTCTTAGATAGCATGTAGCAAAATGTCTTTATTTTCCACTCCCTTTTATTGGGAGCTAGTCACGTACACCACACTGATCAATAATCCTAACATCCTCAATTCTTATCTTAAACTATAGAAAAGAAAGAAAGTCTGGGAAAGTGAGATAACTATCATAAGATTAGCCTAAAGAAAGAAAGTCCAGGAAAGTAAGACAACCATCTTAAGCTAGCCTCAGGCTGCTCCTCTCTAAAAACCTAAAAGAACTGTACATTATCTGACTTCTATTGTTAAAGTTAAAGATTAGGATAAACAGAGGAGTAAAACCTTTTTCTTCTATGTACTAAATTAAATTTCTGAGAAAAAGACTCCATGACTGTTTTCTTATGGTTTGGAGACCCCACTGGAGTGTTTTATATCATTGTGTATGGAGTTTTTCTTTTCACTCACATCAACCTTTGAGTCATGTCCTCTGCACAGATGGGCTGTTTCAATCCTTATCTGGCAGGCTGACTTGACTACACAGTCAGGGTTCCCTGTAGGAGGTTGTTAAGCCTTACCTGCAGGCCCCCACTGTGTGTTCCCCAGCTTGCTTACACCTTGACAAAAGTGCATAATACTCGCAAGTCTTTTCCCTCAGTTTCTGGAATTAAAAGAGCACATTTCATTTAATTTTTGTGGGAGTTTACCCCACATTTACCTAACATACTATTTTTATTATTTTACCTAATATCCTAACCTCTAACGAGTGCAAATGGGTGTGGGAGAAAGCGAAAGAGGCAGCAAATCAATTTCATATATCAAACAATAAATATGCTACAAATAACACTATAATCCCTAACTCCCAACCAAATTAAAATTATAATAATAATGCTGGGAGAAAAAGTAGAAACATTTTTATTACCTGCATTCTTTGCGAACTTAAAGCTTCCGCCAAAAAAGCTATCAGTTATAATAAATTATGGAAAGTCATACAAAATAAATCTAAAAATCCTTCAGCTTTCCTCCAACATTTCCAGCCTTACCAAGGATTTTATTAAATATACTAACTTAAATCTTAAAACTATAAGTGGGAAAAATGTTCTTATAACTTATATTTTTAACAAAATTACCCCAACATCAAACTTAAACTAAAACATTTGGAGCACGGACCCCTAACACCTCAGGCCATGATCTTAAGACACAGACTTTAAAATTCACATGGGGTGAGATGATATTTTCCAAAGGGAGAATAAAAATTCTCAAACCCCAAATTATCAAATGCTAGCTCAAAATATTACAAACTGTCACAGAGGCCATCATTCTAACCTGCCTAAGTCATCAAGGGCCAAAGACCACTTCACGACTCAACCACCTGAACCATGCTACAAATACAGTGAAGAAAGCCACTGGGTATGACATTGTCTCAATCCCAGGCCTCTGCCAGGGCTATGCTTTCTGCAAAAAGGGTCATTGGAAAGCTGACTGCCCCTTGACCCAAAGAGGCCATGGGGCCAGCCAACCTGAGGTACCTACATATAGCAAACTTGTCAGTGCTTGCCTCTTCTGAAGACTGACCAAAACCCTGGCTTCTCTCACCAAATGCACCTCTACGGAGCCAAGAGTAACCCTGATGATGGCAGGTAAAATGATTGCCTTCCTATTAAACACAAGAGCTAGCAGTTCTTAAAAAGTTCAGAGGTCTGGCTCAGTACCTGTGGCTCAAGTGGCTAAGGCGCCAGCCACATACAACTAAGGTGGTAGATTTGAATCCAGCCTGGGCCTGCCAAACAACAATGATGGCTGCAACCAAAAAAAAAAAAAAAATA